AATTTCTAATTCAGGTAAGAATGGGACTTTATTGTATTCAAAGCTAGTTTTGATTTGCATTTGGAATCATTGCTCTGTTAAAACACCCAGTTATGTCCAAGTTTTCACCAGTTAGTCCTTTAATACTCCTTTGGCATTGGAATTGTTTAGCTCCTGTCCAAAGATACCACTTTTACTCTTTGAAAAGCACCGCTAGCGGAACAGTGGCCAGAGCATCATGCCGCCACTACCTTGCTTTGTAGTTCACACAGTGTTCTTTAGTTCCCAAGGTCTTCTGCATGTTGCAAAGAAAACTCAATATTAGTAAAGAAGTATGAATTTTCTCTAATTCAAACAAAATTAAACATACTAGGATCAATTACATAGGTTCACCCTTCTTCTTCTTGTAAATTCTAATAGCAAAGGACAAACAATTTACAGGTGCATTACCGCCCCCTTCTGGTGAGAAGCATGAGCCGGGTAGGCCACTTACAATCCATTTTGACCTGATACATTTATCCTACAACTTAGATTCTCCATCCATACATCTTCTCCCACTTAATTTCTTAGGGTCGCGGTTGAGCTGGGGCCTATCTTCAGCAGTCTATGGCCGAAAGGCAGGGTACACCCCTGGACAGGTGGCCAGTCCATCACAGGGCAACATATGCACACACACACACACAATTCAATCAGCCTGTCATGATGAGAGAACCAATGCAAGCAAGGGAAGATCATGCAAACTCTATGCAGAAAGACCATGGGCCAGGAATCAAACCTGGGACCTTCTAGCTGCAAGGCAACAGTGCTACAAACTGCACCACTATGCAGCCCTGGTCCAAAATTTACACATTTAGCAAAATTGGTTTGTGTTTTGAGATTATGCCCTCTTGGAACAATTATGTCAATGGGGCTCTAATTACCACTATGACTAAAAGGAATTTGTTAATGATATTCAGCAACAACCAGACAGGCAGCAAGCTGATAATACCCTGATGATGGGCACAGAAGTGCTTGTACTTCCAACAGAGGATGAGGAGAGCCCACTTGCCCCCACCCATCCAAGACCTACTACAGAAGCACCACAGAGAGCGTTCTGACCAGCTGTCTTACTGGATGGTGCTGAGGCTGCAGCGCCTTTGACTTAAAGAACATGAGAAGAGTGGTTCTAATCGGGGCTCGTCTTCCCTCATTAAAGACATTTCATTCCAGCGTTGCATTTGGCAAGCCCTTAACATCATCAATGATCCCTCACACCCCGACCATGGACTGTTCTCCCTGCTGCCCTCTGGGAAGAGGCTGTGTAGCATTTGATGCAGGACCAGTAGGTTCTACAACAGCTTTTTCCCCACTGCCATAAGATTGTTGAACTGTTGAACTCTAATAAATTCTCAAATCAAGACTCTGCATCACACTTGTAAACATCATATTTGCACTAAATGGCAAATTTTCAGATCTTTTTAAATAGAACTCAAGTCAGTGTTCTACTGCTTTTTGCATTATATTTATATATTTATTTTGCAGTGCTCTGAAACTTCCATATCAATGCCCTTTGCACCATGTCTTTAAACTGGTTTTCCTTTTCTCCTACACTGTTTACATTTTGATTACTGCTCCACTTTATAGGTGGAAATGTTCATTTCACTGCTAAGAAATTTCATTTTGCAAACACTCTCTGTATACAAATTGACAAAAAAGTTTAGTCCAAAAATAAGTAATAACTAATGAAGCTGTTCTTAGAGAAGCAATCATTAAATCAAATTGATCAATACAGATACATATAAAAGATACCATAAAACCTGACATTCGTAGCCATCCAAACACTCAGGCGTCAAGAGAAGCTGTTTGTTGATAAAGAGAATAAGGTTGACCTATTTGATCACATTGATAAAAAGATTGTTTTGAGGAATCAAGGTACTGCTTTACAAAAGAATTTGCTATTAGTGGTATTGGTATACGGCACAAAGAGGAGAGTGCCTCTACATTCCTCAATTTACCTCAAATGTTAAGAATTAGCAATAGAATGATGTTCCAAAAAATAACACACACTAAACATCCTGACTATTCTGGAATAGAAAGGCTAAAATCAAGCTTTTGGAAAACTGTTTTAGGTGTATTTAACTTTAGCCATTAAATCAAACTACCTGTATAATAAATACACTTCGTAAAAATGATGATAAGCATAGGTAGACTTCTGATCTATACTGTACAAAGAATGTCACTGGACGCCTTTCTTCCAGTTTTGCCAAAGCCCTGTGAATAATAGGATGCCATTGTATTTCTAACAAGAGTGGATGGAGGAAACAGCATGAACTGTAGAGCTATATTTACTCTGTGTTTCATATTTGCATGATCCACCAAGGCCACTGGCAGTTTAGGGCTTAGGATATAGTGCAATACACAGGAAATAGTGACGTTCAGGGAATTTATGATTGTAACGTCAT